TCACGGCCGTCACGGTAACATTCTCGACGTCGCAAATAACCCGCAGCCAAAAGACCCTATACATGTCGAAAACAAATAAAATAATAATTCCGGGTGACTGCGATGCGCAGTTATTGCGCCGTGTTCGCGAAGATCGCGCGCTTCTATACGTTACATGTTTCGGGCGGATGGCGACGGTACAACGCGATTTGTGATACGCGAACGTTCGCGAATCGCTTAATACGCAAAACGCGCACGGGTAAACACGTTTATTCCAAACCGACTCGTTAATTAAAGTTTATGTAAACGCCTGTGCGAATACCGAAAAAATAAAACGTCACTTCCTCTCTAACCAATTATGAACCGTTGGTATACGGGTATTGATACATTTAAATAATTGATCAATTACATCCAAGAGCTTATTTCTACAGGTTACATGCGCGGATAATTCGCTTGTGCATCTGCTGCTACAACCCATAAAACGTGTATCATACACCTTGCATAATAAGCCAATTGTTTTTCACTAATAATAGGATCCGTTTAATGTACAGTTATTATCTGTGTAATATTGTATACACAATAATGAAATTAACAGTTCTATTTCATGCACTAAAGTATACATATATTATGTAGAAAATAATCTGTTTTCGTCTCGCGAGACGCTGGGGAACACCAAAAGTTTGACAGTTATTACGTTTTATGGATATTATTCATCTCACTAGGTACAAGAAATATATTTTTTACTTTAATTTTATCTCTATCTAAAAATTATAGTAACGACGGAAAAAAAATTGTTTTACGTGTGTAATATTTTGTATTTTTTGTTCAATTAATAATTTTTCGTTTAGTTTAGTAGAAAACGTATTAAAAGTAATGAATAAATACAAATAAATATATGGCACAAATATTATGTTTCAACAATATAAAAATTAAAAAGGTTAACTCACTAATGACACAAATTTGTAACTGCGTTTAATTGGATATAGGTAATGTGGTACTATGGTAAAACATAAAATAGATCATTGAATATTATTCAGGATCCTCGGAGTCACCGCCGAATGCTCTCAACTTGAAAAAAAGCAATGATTTTTTCTTAAAACGTCTACAACTATGAAATACCATATTATAAGCTCGAGGTTTATCGAAAGATTTATTTTCTGTTCAACGTTTCTTTTGAATTTTCGCCTCAATTACCTCAAATAATAAAAATAATATAAATTATATTGCTATTGGCGAACAATGACTCTTTCCCATACCCATGATAACTTTTGAATTATCTCATTGTCAATATAATATATTATGTTTAAACTAGCATATTAGTATGTTTTGATTTTAAATAATTATAATTATATTTTAAAACTGGATAAATTCGTTGTTGCATATTTTATAAAGTAAATGAATAAGCTTCGCTTAAACAATTTTAATTACACTTTTTTTTTAACATAGTAAATTATCTAACTATATGAATCAGAAGTGAATAAAATCGTAGTATGATTTCATCATGCCTCATAAAATGTGTTGTAATTAAAAAAAAAAATTATACAAATTAAAATCTATATTTTTTTTAATTATACAACAACCAACAACAATAATAATAAAATAATATTTATAAAGAGATGACATCATGAAGTACGTTTTTGAATGAATAACATGAAAAAGTTGCGAGGGTATGATGCGAGAATCTTAAGTTTTTGAATATTTATCGAGAATCCAACTTTTCGATCAGCAAGCTTGTCATAATTGAAAAGGTTAATCTTTAAAGAAGTTCATGTTTATGAAGGTATCCTTTTTTCTTTAGTGGTTATCGATTTACGTTTATTCCTTGTAGCCCCATCAAAATGGAAAGATAGGAAAGGGATGCTTGCAAATATCGTCCATTTATGCGAAATACCTTGACACGGTTTTGTGAAAAGTGCACCCAAAAGTAAAACGTTTTAGTCAAGAAGTGAAATCTTACCTCTTCGTTCGATTTTAACAACTCATTTGGTTTTTACTGCAAGTCAAATAGTTTACGTCTCCATAACCAAAGAGAAAAAAAATAATTATGTGGACAGTTATCATCAGCGACGCGAGAAGAAAAAAATTATTTCTACCAAAGGAAGTAGCTGGGGTGCATTTCATTCCCCGACTTTCAAAGTTGCATTCCTCGGGAGGGAGTAGAGCACAAATGACGGGATTGAAAACACTAACCAAGCACAATCGAATGACATAATTTTCTTTGGTTTTGAATTTCCAAAGAGGGGGCAGGGACATGGAGCTCCAATTTCCATGGCTCCTTAAGGCATAAGAGTAGTTCGTAATGATTCCCTTATTAATTCTCCGTAATACGGATGATGAGAACGAGGACACATCGGAGCACAAAAATATTATCGTGTTATGATAACGCGTAATTACGGTGTGATGATTATTACGCGATGAACAATGTACGTTATACCTACATGTATATTTTACAAATTGTTTCATACCTGAATAATGAACCATGCGAAGTAAATCCAGCGCGATGTCTTTTCGTTCGTGTCCGGTCGGATATAATATACATTTATTCATTTATTTTTTTTTTTTCAAGTTTACGGACACAGTTTTTCCTAACAAGAACATAACCGTTCGCTTTCCGTATACTACTCGCGCACAGCGCGTCGCTGCACCGAAGGGAAACGGTCGAACATTAAGCGCATCTTATATGTATACACACGGGTGGACGGTACACGGCGCACGTTTCCCTCGAAAAAAAAATATATACGTAAAAAAAAAAACAAAAACCTAACGAAATATATTACGCGTGCGTTTTGCCTCTTCATCTGCTACGTAAACATCGCGTATTTTCGAGTGTTCCGATTCCGTCGCAATACGGTTATCTCGTTAATCCTTACACTATTATCATTACTTTTACTGTTACGATTATCTGACCGGCTCGATCGAACCCACTCGATTCCCGCGCGTATTGTCACCGCATGTGCGCGCGTAAACATACTCACCGCGCGGCGAGTGCAGTTTTTGACGTGCACGGGGAACACAACGCATGAATATGCCCTACGTTAATTGACGTGTACACCACTGCTGCACGGTTGCAGTTCTTTGTGCGCGCGTATATCAATTCCGTGCCACCATCGGCGGTCAACAGAGTCAACGCGCCTTATCAGATCGATGTACTACGCGGGCGTGCGAGTGGTTGCTAAACATCATAACTGAGCCATTGTAACAGTACATGCGCGCGAAACCGTGTTCTTGTCCGTGTGTTCTTGTGCATGACCCAGGACCGCTTCCCCCCCCCCCCCCCCCGGGAAATATGCGATTACAATACACGTGCATACGAATTAGCGTTTATTTTCATCTCTCTCACCAGAAGTCATTCGCTATTTCTCCGTTTCTCTCTCCGATCACTTCAGATATCCGCGGAGGACTGCAGCAGCACCGTTTCGGACTAGATCCGGTACAAAATAATTGGTACACTGTTTATCGGCGCACGGTAACGCCACGCCGTTGCGATAGTCGGCGCCGGGCAGCGGTTACCCGTGTCCGACGTCGAACTTCAACTCCTGTTGCTGTTTAATAACAATAATAACGATAACAGTAATACGCGATTACGACATCGATCACCGCCGTATAATTGGGTGTTCGTAAACCGTCTGCACGGATCTCTATAGTACGAGTGTTCCCCATTTGCACATGCAGAAGACAATTTTAGATAAAAATAATACGCGAAATATATTCGTCTCTCCCGTCGTACAACCCAACTCTAGCGCGTTAATACACGGTGATAACAGGAGCGGATCTAGGGGGGTTCGGGTTAGCTGACCCACAGTTAATATTTGTTGACAAAACTGGCCTCTTGAAGAGTACTTACAATTTTTATAAAAGTATTCGCGCGCACATTTAAACTCGACCTTTACTGTCATTGCAGCAGTAGTGATAATCAGTGCTCGAAGTGAGGGGGATACGGAGGGATGGCATCCCTCTACTTTTGTGTATTTACAGTTTTCATCCCTTTACTTGTTTTGTCTAGAATAATCCATTTCTCCTAAGACTTGTATTTTAAAATGATATACTTACTATCATTTTTATATTTGTATATAAGAAATTATTTTTTTTCGGTGAAAATAATTTTTTTCAACATTCAGGCCCGGGCGCCCGGCTTATCGAGTTGTTTAGTATAAGACGTTTCGCAATCCGTATTATACCCGTGTTTAAAGCCACGGACTAAGATAATATACCTTGTGTGAACTATAAAAAAAATAAATAAAATATTTAAGGTACACAAAATGTGAAAAATGTTATGATGATATCAGGAAATCTAAATTGTAAGGCATCCCTTCACTTATCTTGAGCCATTTCGACCACTGGTGATAATTAAAACATTCTACTTTCGTGGTAGTCGAAAAATGTATATATTATTACGTTCACGTGACACGCGACGGACATTATACTTTTAAGATAGCGATTCTCATGCCGTCACGCCTACGCAATGAAAGTTTTCTTCCGTATGGATCGATAGCCACTAAAAATATGTGTACACTACCCTAACACGATAGCATATGTTGAGCAAACACCTTATTACCGATATAGTAGACGGAATCGATTAATATCGCACAATACACCTTACACAATATCTACCAACTACGTATACACTATTATGTGTGCAATGCATGTCGACTATACTTAACCTTAGAACGCGTGTTTAATATGTAGGGTGGAAAAAAAGAGAAAAAGAGTAGCATATTTCATGAGATTTTCCTAATTTGTGCATTAAATAAGTTTTTTTTTACAATACTATTGATATTTAATTTAATGTTTTCTAAAAAAAAAAAACTTTGATTTTGGCACCATCATCATAGTGCTTGGTGATGCTTAGTGGTGCTGAAGTTAATTTAAATAGTGTGATAAAACTTTTTGGTGTAGAGTTTTGCAAGAAATATTATTTTAATATTAAAAGAAGCATTTGAAATAATAAAAATGTCTTATTTAATTTTTAGCACCACTAAAAAATACGCGTTGTTAACAATTATAGTATACATAATATTTACCTCTGGACAAATCCAAAGACGTGACCCGTCCCTGGACCTCGATCTCGGTGTGCGCCGTCTCGGTCCTTGTGTCCCAGAACCGAATTCTTTTGTCGAAATGACCGCTCATGATGGTCGTACCGACCGTCTCCGATGTGACCAGGTCATTGCAACTGGACCCGGCGAACTTTGTCTCAACGCCTACACGAAAAAAAAAAATAAACGATTTTATAATAATAACACCGGCCGAAGAGTATACTTATTTATTTATTATTTGAATATCCAACGAGTAAAAGCCTTTTTACAAAAACCCTTTATACATATATATATACCAGTGGTTCTCAACCGTTTTTTATTCACAGCACACTATACATCACAAGTTTTCGCGGCACACTTATGCATTTGACAACAAAAACTTTGGCTACGCGCTAAGATATCCAGTTGGATTAAAACCGTACAGTTTACCTACAGATATGGCCAAAAGTCGCGCAACAAATTCGCAACACAATTTGTAATAGTAAAAAAAGAAATTGTTTTTTTATTTCTTCTTCTTCTTCAAAAAAAAAAAATGGTATAAAAATTTTTAACATGCGTCTCAAGAACGTGCGAGAAATTTCTAGCTGGAGTGAAATGCGTTTAGTCGATTGATTCGAGTTTTCGACGAACGTTTGAGACACTAATTGCAAATTTTCTTTTGTCATTGACGTCTTCGATCGACCAGAACGTGGTTTGTCGGCGACCGTTCCAAATTCTTCGAAACGTTTTACCAACCTCCAAACGGTGGTACGATTTGGATCAGAAGAACCGGGCGATTCAACGGCGAACTGTTCGATAGTATCCTTAAAAGAACCTTCGTTTATGTACCACAATTTTATTAACAAAGTGCGTTCAACAAGTGAACATTTTGGAACGGGCATTTCGGCAGTGTTACGAACGATAACGAACACGAAACTGCGTCTAATAGTGGGTCGTTTTGTTGTAAACGCGATAACGAGACCAAAGTTGCAATATGACGTAACGGAGATGACGCGGAAGGGAGTAACTGCGCCGTAACACGCGTTGCCATACAGACGGTAGGCGTTGCCCGACTTTTGGCCACCCCGGTATGATTCGTCTTAACTGCACGATTGATTGACATTTAACTGTCATAGTTTCATCAATCGGTATTTTCAAACGTCAGACATTTTTCACGGCACACTTAGTCGATCTCGCGGCACACTGATTGAGAACCATTGATACATACAGTGAAACCAAAAAATACTAAACTTAGTTAAAAATCAGTTACTTATTTTGTCATACATAATGTGCTCGTATGGTAGTAAAGACAGAAAACCATCGATTTCCATTCACTTTAAATATCGTCCATTATAAACCTAATGTCAATATGATTAGGATAGCCGATAGGTAGTAACGCGTAGGATTTAGAGACCCGTCTAGGTAGATATGTCGGTGTTCAGAGGTCGATACCCGCATACGAGTTGTGGTATTTTATTTTAATTGTTTCCAATTATTAGTAGGTTTCATTGTTTGAATATGACGTTCTAATTATGTTTACAATGTAACCCAAATATAACTTTTTGTTATAAACATTATATTGCAGTTGCAGGTATGTTAGAAATTAACAGATTTAAAACGTTGATGATTAGGTTGCAAACACCGGACATTAGCAGTATCAGGGACATCATATTAACGTAAATTCAACATTCAAATTAATGTTGCAAATTATATGGAAACATACCTTGTATGTTTATAGTACACATTATTGCACAGTGGGTACTAATATGATAACGCAACATTTCGTCGGTGCGATAATATTTTAACGAGATAAATATATACTATTCTGTATAGTAATATACGTAATGAACTTTTGTTTAGGTATTCCATAAATATTCTTAATTTATAAATTATTAATTTCAAAAATGTAAATCCTCGTAAAAGTATCCGTTTTTTAGAGTGTCCCATATTTAAAAGTTTTCCTATAGAAAAGTAGTGAAAATGTTCCCGTTATAACGTCCGTTATTTGGAGATGTCCGCGATTCAGAGGTGTACGTTAGGGGAGGTTTCACTTATTACTATTGGGTACAAGTAAGAGCAGGACCGTGCGCGCGGTTGGTAGATTAAATCCGCCCTCGGACGATTACGCGATCGTTCGTCGGAAGAGTACCAAGTTCACAGTAATATAAGACCGATTATGCACGAATTAGCGTACATATATATATCATACACGATCACGACTTTTACACGTTAGCCGAGCCTACTCTCATCAAGCTGTCCTCGCGCGTCAAATATATTACGAGTATGATATACCACACGGCGCGTATACACTCACATGCTCTGGCGCGTAGATCGTATATCTTCAGCGTGCGGTCGTGGCTGCCGGTCACCACTTTGTTGGGTTCGCCCATGAACTTGGCAGCCATCACTTTGGCACAGTGTCCGGTGAGTGTGTGCTAAAACAAACAACCGAAACGGTATTTAACTGTAAATACAATTTGAATTTGTTAATTGACCGGGCCTCACTGAGTGAAACTTAAGTGCAGGCTCGCAGCAGTATTCTTAAATAAACATCCTTGGAATAAATAAATTTAAAACTTAAATGAAATACAATAGACGACAGAAATCACTGGATAGAAATAATAATTTCTACAATAGTTATTATTAAATGTGGTAAATTATTTTTTAGTTTCAGTTGCATATCATAATCATATCGGAGCTAGCGGGAATTTCAACGAATGTAAAATGCATGTCGGTCATGTCAGTGGACATCGAGTTACATAACACCTGAGTCTCAAGAAAAAGAACGTTTTTCGGCAGCCGGTTACATATATTATAATAACGATATTTCTTTGAATACTATATTTATTATTGTATACGTGTACAACGCAGGTGCTTTATGATGACAACTGCATCACTGGTAAACTTTTTGATGAAAAATGTATGTTTATAATTGTTACGGTATTGTTATAATACGTTTTAAACATCGATGCGTACGTTCATTTCACGATAAAAGTTTGTTTTCCAGATGAATAAACAAAGTTTTTATTTAAATCTTACAACCTGTTAATGTTTATATCAATCATTGCTAACTCAATTAAAAATTCTTACTTTTATAAGCGTCGAAGATTTAAAATTTCACGAACGTGCAAGCGTTGCACGGTTTATATCCATACGAGTTTATATACAGACGTGTTAAGAATATTGCGGTCAACAATACATTTATCGACAAAACCGAAAACCGAATCGTTATTATCAAAACAGTAGTCGTTGTAACGTTGGTAAAAAATACAAATCCGGAACCACTACGTTCTCTCCGGGAGGGTGGCACGCATTGAGTTCAAAAAACGGACAGAATTCACCGGGGCCTACATCTGCTCACCCTGTGACCTACACACCACCCCCGAGGTCACACGTGTAGGCGGACAGCACGCTAATGGTACGAGAGAAACAAACGTTACGCGGGATTTTCGCAGCGGTTACCGAGCGCGGCGGAGGCAAAAGAATACGTAATAGATGTTACGAACGATAGCGACGGGGATAGGACGAAAAGAGCGCAGAGGTCATCTTATGCGCGTACCCGCCGACGTACCCGGGTGGGCTCGAGTGCACACGCGTACACGCGTTTCGTTTCCGGTGCACTAGAGGTATTGAAGAACGCACAACACGCGTTACACCGTCGTTGCGCGCACATGTACAATACAAAACGTATATCATTGCAATACCCCGAGGCGAATATATTACTAACGATACTTTGCCGTCGCCACTGTACACCACGTGTACACACAGGTATGTACGTATATATGTACACCTCCGCAGCAGTAAGACAATATTCGTACGGATAATGAATACGTAAATTCTCTCCGCACACAATAAATACCGTGTATCGTTGTCGTCGTCGTTATTATTATTGCTACCAATCTTCGTATTGTATTGTAACCTTCCCGTATACACGCGTCCCGTCACGCCGCGGCAGCGGTACATCGTGTAAGAGAGTGTACCGTATGGTTGTGGGTCCATCCCGTTCGTGCTCGCAGCCCGTACGGCGTTCATGCGCGTGCGCCGACGAACGGAATCGATTTCCATCCATTACACGTATTGTTTTTACAATAGTCGACGGAACAACTTGCAACAATTTATGCACGCGTACAGTTGCGTTACGATTATGTGACATACGCGCGATGACGTAGGCGTAGATTATTATTATTATTATAATCGTATACGTCCAAATGTCCCGGACCGGTAGCCACCGACGACGAAGACAACATGTGCGTGGGGGGTACTAGATCGCGCGTATCGAATACGTTACACCGCCGGACACGACGAGGCTGATCATGGCAACGGTCGAAATGCACTCGGATAAAGGTCCGCGAACCGCGCTTTGGTTGAACGAGATCATTCGATTATAATTCATAATTTTAAGTTGAGCTTATTGTTTCGAATATTTTTCGTAAACCGAGAGCAGTTGGCAGTTGCTTATTTTTCTAATCCAAGCGCTACTAAAACAATCGCATAGCCATCGGGAAATAGCCTAAACATATTTTATTCGATTGGTCGATAAGAGAGCTGTCGTGCACACGTCCAATAGCGGTTTGCTGCTAGCCCTGCTGGTGGAGTCACAGTTCTCGCACCGACTGCGTTACTATCGTATTCGCGGAGATACGTCCCGTACGTGTGCGTAAAATAACATTACGGGGGGGTGTATGCGAGCGCTGGCGAGGCGATTTAAACGCGACGACCGGTGGATATGCTTACACGACGTGTTGGTTTATGGGTGTTTTTATGGGTTTTTCGTGTTCCGAGAACTATCCCCGTAAGTCCGCGCGGGGAGGAGACGATATCACGCGGTATTGGAAAACGTGTGCACAAAAAATCATGTCAGATCTTACGCGTATTTATGCAACGCGAAGCGTGTTTACAATGCGGATAAGTACTTTGCGTGCGCACATGAATTCGGTCGGAAACGCAAACCCATAGCTGTTCGCGCAGTACACATATTGCGTCGTCATCGTCCCGGCGCCGGCACAAATACGAAATCGAAAACGTTTACGCACCCTGTACACATGTATTGGCTGCAAAGGCCTCGGGGGCGTTTTCAAATAGCAAACACATTTCGTATCCGATGTATGATTATTATAAACTGTTGCGCGCATATTTCAATCGCTCGTGAAATTTACATTTCCCATTAAGATGTAAATCCGCACACGTTTTAAATAACGTTGTGCGTTGGTACAAACACGCGCACGCCGGCGTACGCATTCGCATCCGTACGAGTGTATACGGCATGATATGCTTCAAAAATACGTGTCGCTGTACAATTATATATTCTATTTTGTAATAAATACGTGTTCGTTTTTGCGCGACCGTTTCGTAAACAACATGTATAAATGATCCCGGTAAACGTACGATTATTTCACTATCCTGCGGTTGACGGATACATTGCAGGTATCCGAAGACGTAACGTTGGACAACCGTAAACTCCTACAAAAGTAGACAATCTCCTACGTAGTGTTAACTCCTATTATCGTGATATCGATGGTATACGGTATCTCCTACGCGTGTTTCGTTCAATTAAAAATTATATTCCCAATAGTAAATAAACGATAATCATTACTGTACGCTGTCTCCGTGTAATACAGATAATCGAATTCCGATTCAGTAGATATAGAAGTATGAATTTGACGATCGGTTGTTTTTATTATTTTCGTTATTGTAGTGATATTTCGGTAAAAAGTTAAATGTAATGAATTATTACCGTGTAGGTGGTTCACAATTTTTTTTTTTTGTAAAAAAAAGTCGGAACTGACATTTGGCAGTACAATTATCTACACAATAAACGTATTGTTGTATATGTTGAACGATAGGGTTTTCGACAAAAAAAGTATTTTTTTTTGATGCGTTTATTTAACTCTTTTAAAATATTTACACATTAGATGCTTTTGTTCATTTCATAACACTACACTGCGCGAATTTGTAATCGTTGAACGTGATTCTCCTTTGAAATGTTCGTTTTATACAAGTTCAACATTTAGAGTTAATATTTAAAATTACAATCCAATAGTTATTCAACTCATTATGGTTTTTAGCGGCAGCATCAGACAAAAATGTTCGTATTGTTATACGCATCGTGCATTTTATCAAGAAGACGTAGAACAGGGGTTTTTCAGCTATATAACATGCTTGTTTTGATTAACGATAAGTCACTCTAAAAGGATTTTAGGGCGAAAACACCCATTATAAAAATGAAAGAAAACAATAATTTGGAGGGCATATCTCGAAGTTGTTTTTTTTTTTAAATTATTTAATAAAATAATAATCAAATAATAATAATTTGTTTAAAATGTGCGATTTTCTAGTTTTGTTGACAACCGAAAACAAAAATAAGTTATTCGAATACTATGCTACCGGACGGTAAATATTATTGTACACTAGATAATTTTAAAAACGTCTTTAGATCGTATAAATAAATACACGTCCATTATAATATCGTAATATAACATATGTTTTCGATTTGAGTGACTTTTCTTAACAACATTATCTGTTTTATGCGCAACTATACGTACTACGTATTACGTAGACACATGATATTTATTCGTACTGCTGCTATATCATAATACGATTATACGTATATATTATTATACCCACTGTAAAATCTCACGAACCGTTGTAATGTTATTATTATTATTATTATTATGTTGATATTATAAACTAATTTATTTTTTTTTATTTTACGATTTTCATTTGATGGATGCGAGATACCTTTCCAGAGTACGAATCGATTGAGGTAAAAACGTGTAGCGACGTAGTCACTTGTATTCGTGTATGTACATACGAGTAGAAAAAAAATAAATAAATAAGAAGAAATACCTTATAAAAAACGACACGTATGACCTATAATAATAACGTAATAATAATTATTATTGTACGTTTATATATCGTACGTACGTCTACCGTCCAACGCACGACAAATCGTATTATCTGCCGTATACGTATATGCGCGCACCGCGTACTTATATAGGATAACCTGTCGGTTATGTATTGGTATTATTTCGTGTTTCTCTCCTTCGTGTACAGCACATATCCGTTCAGACGGTTTTTCGATTCGCGCTGCATACACATTAAATATTATTATATACGCAGGAACGTAGCGCATTACCATTACCATTATCATTATTTATGTACACGGTGGCTGGATAGTCTCCATTATTTCTGCACCGTGCTATATACATTATAATATCATTATTATATCGTTATTATAATTATTACTCGCCTCGGTACGGAGGAACGAAAAAAAAAAAAAATTAAAAACAATACATCGAACACTCGAAAATGAAATATTAGAATCGGTTCGCAGGAGCAGTCGACGGCGTAATACATACATAAAGAGTTGTGATACGAATAATGTTAAGTAGTTACGTGTCGGCCGCGACTGTTTAACGGACTTGGGTGGTCTTAC